CCCCAGAACTGCTTCACTCCACGGCTGCTAGTTAACATGAACAGGTGTTCCTCATTGCTGTCAGCAGATGTTTGCAGGTAAGAGGTAGACTTCTAGTATTTTGTCTCAAAGGAATTATATTATTAACTACTTTAATTGGACAAACTGGTTTCTAAAGACAAAAATATATATATAATATTAAAGACAAAACTGTTTAATTTGTACGCGAGTGTGAGATTTTAAAAACTGCACAAGCTGCGCCACCTGAAATCTTGCCTAGAGTGCCAAATTGGCTGTGGCCGGCCCTGGGTGACCTGATGACAGCAGATCCAGAGCGAGCTGCTGAATCCTTCCTAGTACCTATTTTAGTTCTTCCATCTCTGAAGTAGTTCCTCAGCTGTGAAACTGTTCGATTGCTTCTCGCATTGCTGTCCTCAACGATGGTATCGTCACCGCGAAGATCTTCATCAGCAGCTGCAGCAGAAAGCTGGAACCRACAAGATCATCATCATCACAATGTGTCATTTAGAAACAAGCTGCAGGAGCTTTTTTCTTTCTTTCTTTCTTTTATGCACAGAGACCTTTAGCTCTGCAAGTGAACATTTTAATTCCTCTTTGATGAGCTTCAACCACAAACTCTTGTGCAACACGCTGCAGCATATAAAAGCCTTCGCTTTGCAGTAATGAGCCCAGAAATGACAGATCATTGAGCTTTTTACAAGACAAACGAAAACAGGCTTCCTGTGCAGTAAAACGTTTCCTACGAGCTTACACTGACGTCTCATCCAACCCTCCTGTGGACGTTACATGAAGCTAAAAGCTTTCCAGATTCACTGCCTCATACAGGATCTGAGTCGCTCAAGTGTAACAAGAAGCAAAGTCTTTTAATGGACACACACACACACAGTAGTTTTTTCAGAGATGTGTGTGATCTATAAAGAGAAAACCCCGCAGCAGAGAGAGAAATAAATAAAAYTTACATATCGAGGTGGGATGAAGCTCCCGTTCTGCAGACTGCCGTAGCTGTCCGTCATCTGGGCTTCACCCCTGCTGTCCAGATCCAGGAGGACTTCTCTGTCCTCCTTCACCACATCAGAGCTTTTCTTCATCATGATGAAAAAAATGACCTGTGCTTTAAAAAAACAACAAAATAACACTGATAAATCATAAAAAATACGTCCTCCAAACTTGTCTTTGAGGTAAATTTTCMTAAAAAAAGACAGAAAAAAAAGGTCAAACAAGTTATACAAATGTACCTTTGTTTGAATGAAAATTCAGCTGGATTTGCAGCAGTCTGTGCTTCTCTTCCCCTCTCCCTCTTCTCTATCTCTGTATCCATCAGGCTTCCTGGCTCCACTGCATTAGTCGAGGAGTACCGTAATGGATCGAGCATGCAGGCAGTGGCTCACAGCGCTTTGCTGCATCCCAGCTGGGAAAATACACACGGCACATTTGAACGTCATAAATAATGTAATATTTAGTCAGGAGCAGAAGAGAGCAAAACAAAAAAAAACAAACAAAAAAATAAATAAAACCTCTGAGCTCTCAATAAATAAAGCTGAAGATTTGTTACATTAAATTTATAAATAGTGTGTGTTTCTTCTCACCGTGATGTTAATTACTTCCTCATCCAGACAAGCTGTTTTAGTTTCTCCTCTCAGTCGGCTTTGAAAGCTGCATAAATTTGCATAAATTATTCACAGCATCAGTTGGAAAAGCTCCACCTGGCTTCAGTGTTTTTTTTTCTTTTATTCCTCACAGGCATAAGATTAAAAAAAAGTAATAATAATAATAATTCAACAAGATTTGCTGATTTTGATGATGTCCAGTTTCATGTTGCTTTAAAACAGAGTAGGATTAAAAACAAGTTAGGTGGGCCAGTGTTGCTAAACTGATGAGGCAATCGACCAGTCAGAGCATAAAGTCATCAAGGTTTATGACAAGATTTAAAAAAATGTATGTAGTGAAGGTTTTCTTTGAAGTGAAGGTTTAACTGAAGTGTTTCTAAAGTGTTTTTAAAGCTTAAGTCRAGCTAGAAACAACAGAGTTGCAGTATTTCTCCTCAGGGCTTTTAGAAGAGCTGTGATTTAAAACTGATGTTTTATAAAATAAATGAACTCTGTAGGGTTGGAGGATATGACTGCAAAATGATAGAAGCGTTTCATTTCAGTCGATATCGGTAATTAATGATTAGTTTTAGTTTAACCGATTTGAAACATGCACCGGGAGGGGAAAAAAAGSCTGATTATTACTGCCAAACTGGCGACCTTTCCTCTTTTCTCCACAACTTCCTCTCAAGCTGTTGCTCCTTTTCTCCTTTCACTCCAAGTCGTTCTGYCAGCTGGTCATTGTTGGCTGAGCAGGAAGTGAGTTGATGCCACCAACCTTCTTTAGCTGAGCTGTGAGAGGTCAAGTGGCTAAAGCCGCTCCTCTGCCTACATCCCCCAGAATGCCGTGCGGTTCTGAATTGGAGTTCAGTGAAATTACCAACATTTTATTGGACAAATTTTCCATTGATATTTACAGAGTTGTAAAGTAACTAAGTACAAATACTTTGTTACTGTACTTAAGTAGAAATTTTGGTTGTCTGTTCTTTACTTGAGTATTTTTCAGCGTACTTTTTACTTTTACTTATCACATTTTTACACAATTATCTGTACTTTCTACTCACCACATTTTTTAAAAAGGTAAGAAGTAGAAAGTTGTTACTTCTATTTTATTCTGAGTTATCACTTAAAAATACTATCCTGATAAACTGTGTCTCCTATAGAG